AAATATCTACTAAGTCCATTTGTTCACGTTTGGTTTAGTTCCGGTATTTCTTTGCTGATTTTTTGTCTAGTTGATCTATCTCTTTATGGTGATGGTGTCTTAAGGTCCCCTGTTACAATTGTGTTATTGCTTATTTGACTTTTCATGTCTATTAATACATGTATGCTATAGTTGGGTGCTCCTGTATTTGGTATATATATATTTATGATTGTTTTCTCTTCCTCTTGAATTTTTCCCCTAACAAGTATGGGCTCCTTTGATCATTCTTGGTTTGAAGTTCATATGATCTGCAAACAGAATAGCTGTCCCTTTTTTTTGGGTTCCAGTTACCTGGAGGATTGTTTTCCATCCTTTGACTTTCAGTCTATGAATTGCTGTATATACAGAATATTGTAATACGGTATATTGTTGGATCTTGTTTCTTGATCCATTCTGCCAATGTCTTTCTTTTGATTTGTGAATTGAGGCCATTTACATCTATGGTTATAAACAATATATATTGGCTTATCTTTGTCATGATATTTTCCTTCTCTTGGTTCCCTGCTTTTCCCCTTTGTTTAAATGCTTGCCCTGGCTAGTGGTTTGTTTGTGATGTTCTTGGAATTGTGGTCATTTTTATCTTGTTATCTTTTAGTATGTGTCTGTTCTTAAGGATGTCCTCTAGATGTAGGTGGTTCTTTATAGCTATCCCAAGAACCTACGTTCCCAATTTGTAAAGGATTCAATGTTATTATTTGACCTAGCACCCAGTCTTTTTTTTACTGGGTTGTGGTGATGATTATGACCATATACAATCACAGTGTTATCATACAGGGGAGAAAAACTGATCAGAACATGTATGATATCCTGGCTAAAGTAGTACAGTTAGTAATAACAGTAGTGTCAAGTACTGCTTAACTACTGACAAACTGATAACCGTTAACCTGCTACCTCTGACTACAGGAGCAAACTCTAAAGTTATATAACAAAATCAGACACATACCCTGTACTTGTATGCAGTGGGATGATCTTACTGTTCTGTGGGGGGAAGGGAGGGTTAGGATGGGTGGAAGCAGGGTAAAGTGATGAGTGAGGCCAAATACGGTAGAGTCGAGACTGGTGAAAGGGTGACACACCTGAGTTTTGGGAAACTGAAGGACACAGGAAGGAAAGAATTAAATTGAATGTGGAGTCTTCAGAAAGGGAGGAGATAATGTTTACTCACCTGAAAGTTTAAATTCAAGAAGTAGTTGAGGAAAGAGAGAGAGGAAGAAAAGGAAAAAGAAAGATAAGAAACCTAAGAAGGGAAAAAGAGAAGAAAAGCAAAGAAGAAAAGAAAGAAAAAAGGGGACCAGAGAAAGAGAGGAAAGAGAAAAAAAAACAAAAACACGAAACACAAATAAAGTATTAAAATATCTCAGGTGTTCACAGTTCTGTGCTAGTGTCCATGTCAGATCCCAAAAATGTGCTGTGTACTCCAGCCATGTTGGCCATGGGAATTGTACTGGGTGTGGAGCTGCTCTTGGCCTCTGGATGTGGGACCTGGGACTGGTCTTCTGTCGATGGAGTCACCAGAGCCCAACTGCGGCCTCCTCACTGTGGCTTCAGACACTCCCACACTGCTGGTGTCTGATTACCCTGCTCACCAAAGGCGTGTGCACCTGGGCGCCCCAGGCCCGCCTGGCCTGTGTCTCAGGGTTCCGGGCAGTCCGCCCACCAAAGGCATGTGTCAGCGTTGCTCTTTAAAACAAAGGAATTTTTATTTTCATCAGTATATGCTTAAATTTCAAGGACATTATATTCTGGCTTAACCAGTCTCCCGAATCTGACAGTCGTTTCTACAACACAACCCAAAGTGCTTAAATTTGTCAAATTTTCTGTTACCTAACATTTTCAATGAAAATATAAAGAAGTAATTTGAGAACATGAAAATTTCAGTGACTAAAACAGAATCTCCCTTTTAACTTCCGGCTGTGCAAAGTCCTCCATAATTCTGTACAGCTCTGGTTAGAAGAAAACTTATGCAGTGATCTAACATACAGCAAACGAAGACCTCTTTCTCTTAATATTTTTCTTGTGCCAAAAAATACCTGAGTGAATTGACAGCTTATTCTCTGTCAGTATGGACTCTTTAGTACTAGTAGGCCTTTTTTCTTGATTTTGTAGGAACATTTAAGACACTTTTATTGGGGCTGGGGATTTAGCTCAGCAGCGCAGCGCCTGCCTGGCAAGCACAAGGTCGTGAGTTCGATTGCCGGTACTGGAAAAACAAACAAACAAAAAAGACACTTTTATTTACTCTGAAGTCAGTTCCTTTTCTCCCTGTATTTCTGACAGTACCATAGCTTTAGTTTTACAGCTGGATTGGTAAAAGGTAAGTTTCTTTTCCTTGAATCCTTGTTTTAAAAGTTGTTTCTGAATGTTTTTCCTTGAATAATTGACTAAACTGCTATGTAGAATAGGGATTTTTATGACCTATTGGTAAACTTCCTAACATATACAGATATTCTTTGTTTAATGACCTATCTGTTAACAACTGTTCAGACTTTCCACCAGCCACTTGGATTTATGACCCATCTTCTTTTTTGGGGGTATCTGTACTTCTTGTTTATAAAGCCTCAGTGTATTTTTTGTACACTACTCCTTGTTTATGCAGTATTGTAATTTTTGCTGACTATATTGTATAGGACAGTACTATAATTACATGTTCTGTTATACATTATTAAGAGTTCTGCAAATAAAAGCAAAACTCAAGTTCAAGTTTCCTTTGACCATTTCTTTGTTCTGAGTATTGTATATACTATAAACAGTTTCTCATTTAGTGACCAATTAATGATCTAGTCGCAAGAATGGAACCTGGTTGTTAAACAAAGAACATCTGTATTTTAATAATCCCTCTGCTTTTCCAAATGTGCTCCCAGGCCACAGAAAAATATAATTCAATGAGATCTAAAGACCAGTCCTAAGTGTGTCACTGGCAGTGGGAATACAGGGGACTTGGCTTTTTGGAAAGATAGTAGCCACTGATAACTCATGCCTGGCTTTTACATCAGCCGTGGGGGGCCCTGTTTAGGGATCAAACCGGGGCCTTGTGCATACTAGGAAAGTACTCTACCACTAAGCTACATCCACAGCCCTAACCACCAGCTTTGACCCTTCTATTCCTAGTTCTATAGTTTTTTTTTTTAAATAATGAATGGACATTGGATATTGTTAAGTGCCTTTTCTTTTTCAATTGGTATGATTTTTCTTAAGTCTGATAAGATGATGGATTATTTTATATTTTAATGATGAACCAACCTTCCATACTTCGCATAAATCTCACTTCATTATGGTGTGTGATTCTTTGTGTACTTCGTTGGGTTTGATTTGCTAATATTTGTTGGCAGTTTTTCCATCAGCTGTGTTATGAAACATAGTTTTTTAAGATAAATTTTATTGATACTCTTGATATACATAATGATCACATCCATTGTAGGGAATTTGTACCTGTAGATGATGCATCTTTATTTTTTTTTTCCCATTCTCTGCCCCTCCTTTCAATCCTTCTTCCACTTTGAAACATACTGTTTTGTAGTTTCCTTATAGTGTTTTTCTGGATTTGGATAATAATAATGGATTCTTCAGGAAATAATCCCGCTGCTCCTTTCTACTGCAAGAGATTTTAGAGACTTGGTATAATTTTTTCCTTAAATGTTCGATAGAATTTACCATTGAACTCATCTGGTCCCAGTGCTTTCTGTTTTGAGAGATTATTAATTATAGATTGAATTTCTTTAATAATTATAGGCTTATTCAGATTATCTGTTACTTTTTATGTGAGTTGTATCTTTCAAGGAATTGGTTCATTTCCTGTAGGGTATTATTTATGGACATAGAGTTGCTTATAGTATTCTTATCTTTTTGACATCCTTGTTAACTTTCCTTGGCTCTAAAATCTATTTTAACACAAGCTTAAATAGCATGTTTTCTCTTATGTGAGAAACCCAAAATGTAAATAAAGAACAAAACAAAAGTTCATTAGGAAATAAGGAGACAGATGTTTTGTAAATGGGAAGGGTACCAAGACATGGGGGGAGGTGTGAAAAAAGCAGTAAGATGTGTTATGTACATATTCCAGCTCCTCACAAGGAATATAATAATTATGTACTGTAACTGTACTAATAAAAAACAAAAATTAGATGGCAAAAACAAAACCGACATCATAAAAAATCTCCCTTATCTACAAGTAGTATAGGTAATCTACTTTCTTTTCATTTGTGTTAGCAAATATATTGTTGTCCATTTTTTGTTTTAATCTGTGTGTACTTAGGTTTAAAGAGGTTTCTTATAGACAGCATACAGCTGTCTTTATTCTAACAAGGTAGTCTTTTAATGGGTATATTTAGGTCATTAACATTTACAGTAATTGATTAGTTGAACTCATATTTACCATAGTTATTACTGCTTTTACTTGTCCTCTTTGTTTTTACTTTGTCTTTTCTACCTTTTGTAATTTTGCTTCACTTTCTCTCCTTTTTTAGCATATCCATTCTACTTGGATGACCTAGTAAATACCACATAAAACACAGAATGCACCAGACAGAGTCAGACATTGTAGTGCACACCTGTCATCCTAGCTTCTCAGGAGGCTCAGGCAGTAAGGTGACAAGTTTGGTCTGGCCTGGGCAACCTGTAGTGACTTAGGCCCTGTCTTAACATCAAAAATGTAAAAAGGGCGAAGAATATAGTTCAGAGTGAAGGCTCTGAGTTCAATTCTCAGTACCTTGGTTAATGAATAATGAGGGAATTAATGCTGAGATGTAGATCTATGGAAATGGTCTTGCCTAACATGCTTAAGGTCCTGGGTACAGTCTCAAATAATACACACGTGCGTGTGTGTGTGCACACACAGCAGGTTCTTAGAAATGTAGTAACAAAAGTAAATGGTTCTTTAGTGTAATAGCTGTTTGATAAATGTGTATTTTATTTACATAATCATTTTTGTATTGAAAAGAATGAAAATTGTTTTCTCGTTATAGGAGAATTTTAAACTTAAAGATTATATCGACCATCAGAAGGATAAAGTTGCTTTAACTCTAGCTCGTCTAGCCCACCATGTTGAAGTGGAGAAACAGCAAAAAGAAGAGAAGAATAGAGCATTCAGGGTATGTGGCTATTTTAATTGGTGTTTTATTAATTTATTGTTTTGTGTGTAAAAATCTAAAGACAAACCTTTAATGAAAAATTTATGATTAGATCCACGTTCAGCATGTATCCTACATACTCACTGATTTAGTAATAGTGTATCTCTAGTTTTAGTTTGTTGGATTCACATATGTATTGGAAAAGAAAAATATAACTATGTGTTCTTTGTTTTTGAGAATTGAAAATCCTGGGATTTCTCAAAGTGGTTGAGCATTCAGGGTTATTTTATCTGAGAGTAAAAAGATTCTTTCAAGCCTTTTATAGAATGAGTTCTATTGAAAAGTTATCTTTTTGGTTGCCACACAGAATCAAACCACTTTCTCAAGCTTTAGTCTATCTCTCCAAGTTAAGCAGTTGATAAAAGAAATGTGAAGCTGGCTGGAAGGAATCTGTGTGATAATGAAGCTTTGTTAAGAATCTTGCGTGTCATAATTTCCTTGACTTGCTTTCACCAAGTGAAATGAAAGTGCTCCACCAGTACTAACAAATGTCTGCATTCTGCTCATTATCAAGTGCATTGTGTAAAAAATTCATACTAGAAGTCTTAAAACAGGCTCCAGTTCAGATCACAGCTCTGCCAGCAAATGTTTGGATCTTAGAAGGTCACTTACTTTTTGTTCCACTGGTTATTATAGAGGAATTTGTGTATTTTTGTAGCCTCTTTTAATATCTCCTAAGTGATGCAGTATAAATTAATCTTTAGATTTAGAATGTTAGTTTGGGGACTTTATGGTGAATACTAATTAGACTGTGATATTCTATGTTTAAAATGTTTTTTCCAGAAAAACAGTATCATTACTGTCCTAGTAAGACACGATTCAGTTTTAAGGAAGTTTTATACCCAAAACTGTGTTACTATATATTTGTTGTTTTTGTGAGTCATTTACAAACTGTCTTATGTTTCTACAGATTTCCCACTTGAAGCTGGCTTCTTTTCCTAGGCCACCCACATAGTAAAGTTTTTGTGATAAGCCCAGGATTTTACATAGTAGTTAGTCACTGTGGCAACTAAGGTTTTTCTCAAGGAAAGTTTAAGCATCGACTCATGTAAAGGTTTATTGTATTAAGCATATCACCTTGTCATTGAGGAAATATTTTGAAAACTGGAAAGTTTAAAAAAATTTGTTGATACATTTTAGGTATATCTACTGATCGCATTCATCATAGAGAATTTTTACTTGTGCTTGATATAACTTGATTCTTTTTCTTTTCTCATTCCCATACTGTCCTTTCAACCCCTCTACCCTCCCCATTTACAAAAGCTTTGTTTCCATTTTTCTTCTTTGCTCATTTTGTTTATTTTTCCCTTCTTTCCTTTGCTCCCGCCTCCTCCCTTGTTCCTCCCTCCATTTTAATATTTTCTTCCTATTTCATAATATCTGTTTTACATGTTGGTCCTTCTCTAAACTTTTGGTTTCTCATACCACAGAAACAGTGTGGTATTTACACATGTGTGTCTGATTTGTTTCACTTAAGAGTTTGGTCTCTAGGTGCATCCATTTACCTAGAAATGTCTCAGGCTTATCCTTCTTTATGGCAGAGTAATACTCCGTTGTATAAAAAATCTTTATCCATTCATCAGTTGATGGGCATTTGAGTTGTTTCCAAGATTTAGCTATTACAGACTGTGCCGCCATAATGAGTACACGTATATCACTGGTATGATGCTTGTAGTTCTTTCAAGAAGATCCCAAGAAGAGGAATATCAAGTGGGACCTCTAGTCTTAGTTTTTTGAGGAATCGCCACACTGATTTCCACAGTGGTTGCAACAGTCTACACTCCCACCAACAGTGGAGAAATGTTCCCTTTTGCCCACAGCCTTGCCAACATTTGTTATTGGTCGATTTTTTTGTTGTTGTTTTATAATAACCATTATTTCTGAAGTGAGATGGAATCTCAGCATTGTTTTAATATGCATTTCTCAAATGAGCAATGATGTTGAACAATTTCATGTACTTATTTGCCATTTTTGTTTCTTCATCTGAGAGTTATTCATTTCAGATGCCCATTTTTGAATTAGGTTGTTAAGTTTGGAGGGTCTGATTTTTTTTCCTTATATATTCTAGATAGTGGTCCTTTGTCTGAGGAACAGCTAACAAACATTTTTTTCCCACATTGTGTATTGTCCCTTCACTCTGTTGGTAGTTTCTTTTGCTGTGCAAAAGGGGTTTTTTTGGTATCTTTTCTTTTTTATTTTAAAAATTTAAAAAACTAACAAAACAACAATGAAAACAAAATCAAAACAACACAAAAACAACAAAAGTGATACATGACCTCAAAACAAAATGATAGGAATTAACAATGGTTGCTACATTACATACTGTGATTCTTGGTGATAGTTCCTGTGCATTTGGGGTTTTGTTTATTAAGGCTTTGCCTACACCAGTGTCTGTAAGAGTTCTACCTATTCTGTCTCCTAGCAGATTCTGTTTTGATATTTAGATTTTTGATCCATTTAGGTTTTATTTTACTTCATGTTGAAAGATACAGGTATAATTTTAATCTTCTTCATTATATTGGGATTTGTATTTATTATATTGGGATTTTATTATATTGGATATTTATTATATTGGGATTGTATATTGGGGTTATTGTTTAATTGTAAAAACTTTTTAATTTCTTCTTTAATTTCAGCTGTTCAGGAGGCGTGTTATTTAGTTGTCATGTGTTTATGAAGTTCTTCTGGTTTCTTTTGCCGTGGATTTCCAATTTCATTACACTATGCTCTGACACTATGCATGGGCCGGTTTCAGTTCCTTTGCAGTTACTTAAGCATGTTCTGTGGGCTAGTAGGTGGTCTGTTTTGGAGAATGTCCCCATGTGCAGCTGAGAAGAATGTTTATCTGATGTTGTCGGGTGGAACACTTTGTAGACATCTAAGTCCATTTGTTCAAAAGTTTGGTTCGGTTCTAATATTGCTTTTTTTTTTTTTTTTTTTGGTCTAGTTGATCTATTTGTGACAGTGAGGTATTGAGGTCCCCCTATACAGTTGTATTAGTAAATGTATTTGGTTTTTCATGAACATTAGTATTTGTTCTGTATAATTGGATGTGCTATTTGTTGCATATATATTTATGATTGTTATCTCCTCCTCTTGAGTTGTTCCCTTCACAATGATCTAGTGACCTTCTCTGTTCTTTGTCTCTTTTGGCTTAAAATCTACTTTGTCTGCAAATAAAATAGCTAGCCCTACTTTTTTTTTTTTTTTTTTTTAGTTCCTGTCACATGGAGTAGTCTTGTCCTTCTTTTTGGCTATAAATTTCATTCTTAATACAATGTGTTTCTTGTGTGCAGCATATTTTTGGATCTTGCTTCTTGATCCGTTCTGCCAATCTGATTCTTTTGATTGGTGAATTGAAACCATTAACATTGATGGTTACAGTTAATGTGTTTTTGGTTTTTTTGTTTTTTGTTTTTCTCCAGTACCAGGAACCGAACTCACGACCTTGCGCTTGCCAGGCAGGCGATTACAGTTAATGTTATCCTTGGAATAGAGTTTCCTCTTGTTGTCTCCTTGTCTTTACTCTCTGTTTAATTTCTTGCCCAGTGGACTCATTCTGTTGGTGTCAGTGGAGTTGTAGTCCTTGTTGTCTCTTTCTAGAATGTCCTTCAGAACATTTTAGAGTGCTGGTGTGGTTCATGAATTTCCTCAGGTGTTCTTTGTCATGGAATTTTCGATCAATTTTGAAAGATAGTTTGGTGGGGTACATCAGTCTGGGATGGAGGTTGTTTTTTATTAGGGGTTGAAATACTTCACTCCAAGCTTTCCTTGACTTGAAGGTTTGTGTTGAGAAGTCAACTATGATTCGTTTCTTCAACAGCTTTTAATATTGTGTTCTTGTATCGAATTTCTGGAATCTTGACTGTCATATGCCTTGCTATAGATTTTTTTTGTCATCACTAGAGTTCTTTATATCTCACTTATCTGTACGTCAAATCTTTTTCCCTCCAAGAAACTTTCCTGCCATGATGTCTGTGAACAGGTTTTTTGTATCATTTGTGCTATCTCCTTCTTTTTCATTGACTCCAATCAAATTTATGTTATCCAGGCTGGGGATTTAGCTCAGTGGCACAGCGCCTGCCTGGCAAGCATGAGGTCTTGAGTTCGATTCCTGGTACTGGAAGAAAAAAAAATTTATGTTATCCTTCGTGGCATCATCTGGAAGCTGCCGGATTGATTTCTTGTGGTCCTTTCCTATTTTTAAGAAATCTATCTCTTCATGCTGGCTAACTGCAGGCCTTTTTTTTTTAATATCTGAGATCCTGTCCTCACATTAGCTTAATCTGTGTTAGAAATCTTGTCAAGAGCAAACACGAAGTGCTCATGGAGAGCATGATTTCTAGAATTGAATTGCCAGAGTTTGGATCCTGACATTATACATTGTCAGGGCAATTAGTTAGACTTCTCCGTACCCAAATCTTTCCTTCATAAATGGGAATTTTAAAGGGGCTGGGGGGGACGGGGAAGAAATAGTAGAAGAGGAAACGTTTAGAAGCAAGCTGAAGGAGAAAGGAGGGATCATGCTTACTTTGGGAAACATGCAGATGACCGGGAAGGAGCGAAGGAAGAAATAAAAGGAATAACAGAACAAGAACTACAAGAGAAAGTAGAAATCATGTTAACACTCATAAAAACAAAATCAAACAATGAAGAAAAGAACAAATAAAGAGTGAAAAGGAAAACAAAACTGTTCACTTCCAGGTATGTCTCGGCTGTCACTGGTAGCATGTGGAGACAAGAGTCCAGATCCGAGTGGATTTATCCCAGCAAGCCAGCCATAGCTTACTTGTGGTGTAGTGGATAATCCCGGAGAGCCTGCACCTTGATTTCCCCCAAAGTTCAGGCTGTACTCTGGCAGTGGAGCCCAGACCAGACACATTCTGGCTGCAGCAGTCAGCACACCTCCACTAGGTGAACCCAGCAGTTGTTCTGAGCTCAGTTGACCCCTCTGCAAGATTGCTCCCAGCCAGTCATTTTCTTCCGCAGCACGACCGAGCTCTCAGCCCTAATCCTCAGCTAGTGCAGCCTTTCAGGTCCTCTGTTCCCTTCCACTGCTATGTCTCTCCTTGGAGACCTCGTTATTCCCTGGTTGCCGTGTGTCTGCAGGTTTGAACTGCTCTTCTCACTCAGGGAGAAGGCACTTCAGGGCCTCCCTGGGTCCAGGGGACCCACTTCCGTCCTTCTGTTCCTCACGTTGCTGGAATGTAGCAGAAAGACTTCCTCTGCTGCTTGCCACTCTACCATCTTCCCAGAAGTCTCACTTTTAAATGTTTTGTTTAGTCAATTAAAAAATTAATTTGTCTAGATTTTGTTTTTTTTAAGGGAAGAAAATTACCCAAAACAGATGCTTTAGTCCCTTGCTTGCTATTCATCCATGATTTTTTCTTATTTGATTCCCTTCATTGATAACTTGATTTTATTATTATTATTATTATTATTATTTGTTTTTTGAGTCAGGGTCTCATTCTATAATGTGAGTTCAGGTTGGCCTTGAACTCACTGTGTAGCCCAGGCTGGCCTCGAACTCATGTTGATCCTTCTGCCTCAGCCTCCTGAGTGCTGGGATTACACACATGGACCATGACACCCAGCTAGCTTGATTTTTAAAACTAGATGACAAAACACACACATACATAAAACTAGTCAAATAAAAGGTACCGAGCAAGGAAACTAATGAAATGGAAATAGAAATAATTTTTATAATTCTAATTGGTGATAATTCTAGCTAAAAATATAGAACATGTCTTCTATTTTAGGCATTTAGGAAATTTGGTGTCCTTAAAGTAAGTTGTCATTCTTTTGCAATTGAGAGATTTAAAAAAAAAAAAAAAGACTCATTAAAATCCTTACTGGAAACTTCACTTTCAGATCAGGTGTTGTGCTGAGCAGGTCCCAGCTTTGACTATTCCTGTTCCAAAGTTAAAATGACCTCAAGGACAGGGGCCCTAGAGTGTGTGGAACAGCTTTGTGACAGGAGAAGGGTGGCACTTTCATACTGATTACAGCCAATAAAGGTTTTTGAGCAGTGACTGTGTTCACAGAGTTCAAATTCTATTTAAGAGATGCCTGAGAAGTTTCTCAAAAGATTGTCATTGGTTAGAAATTGTTTAAGTGGTCTGTTACCTGGTGTATAGTAATACTTAATAGTTGAAGAGCTGTTATTGTGATGAAGTTTTGAAAGGGGCTGGTCATTTGTGATGTTGAGAAAAATCTCAGTGCACACGAACACCTAGGACTAGGAAGTCCTGCACGAGGGGTCCTTTAATATTTTGTATTCAGACCAGTGTCTCTATACTTGCTTGGTCTATTGCAGAGAGTTCTATAGGAGCTGCATGATGCATGGTAACGATCTTTACATAATGCATGGTAACGTTCTTGAGAATTAGTATTCTTCAGCTGTACTTTGAGAACTATTCTATAGATTCAGATTAAATCTTGATCCATCTTTTCCCTCTACTTCCCCTTCATTATAGGAAATCTTGTTATATTGCTAACTAGACTCTACTTTATTCTGTTTGTCTTTCAAGTGCAGTGTTTTAGACTCTGATTTCTTTTTGAGTACTGTTGTCTTTCAGTATTTGCGAGATCATCCTGAATATCAAACTTTGTGACTGGTCAAGTCTCTTATATATAATAGTGTAGTGTTTAGTGTGAGCTATTCACATCTTCCCCTCTTCTTAAAATTCTCTCTAGATTATCGATAATACCAACTACAATGTAAGTGCTGTGTATTTGTTCCACTTGTACTGCTGAGGAAATAAAAGATAAAAGAATGCATTTTCAGTACAGATACAATTTTTTAACCCAGAGTTTTCAATCACTAGTTGGTCAAAAGCATGCGTGTGGAACATGAAGGGTTGACCATTGTAGAAATCTTCTCAAGAGCAAACTCAATGTGCTCATGGAGAGCATGATTTCTAGAATTGGATTGCCAGAGTTTGGAACCTGACATTGTTATAAATTGCCAGGCAATTTATTAGACCTCTGTGTACCCAAGTCTTTCCTCCATAAAATAGGAATAATAATAATAGTACCTATTTGATAGGCTTATTATGAGAATTAAAGCTAACATCCTTTTAGAACAGTGCCTCCACATGGCAGGTGGTCAGTAAATATTGTTAGAATACAGCATGGTTAGTGGGTATGAACATAAATTTGTGGATAGTATAACCAGAAACATTCGGAGACTCTACCATCTTCCACTAAAGCATGTAGGTTAGCATTTGGCCCTGGCCTGTGGCCTGTTCTGTAAATACAGTCGAGGTTTACCGGCATACTACCATACTTGTTTGCATACTGCCTGTGGCTGCTTTCATGCTACAACAGCAAGTTAAGAAGTTATAGTAGAAACCCAATAGCCTGCAAAACCCCAAATAGTTGCTTCCCCGGTCCTTTTTAGAGAAGGTTTGCCAACGCTTGATCTAGATCGCAAAAAATACTTCATCATAAGACAAAATTAATGCCAATGTGTCTGATAGTAATATTCATTGAACAAATATTTATTATGGTCCTCTTTCTATTCCCAGAGATATCTATAACAATACTTAATATATAGCCTTTTTACCCTCTTCAAATATAGTTGCATATAAATTAAAATTCTTCGTTAATATTTTGACTCAGTTAATGTAATTTGTTGATGTTCTTGATACCAAAGGTATGTTCCCACAGCACTGTGTTTGGGGAGGAAGGCAGTAACAGGGACTGAACCCAGGTCCTTCTTACTGAGCTGCAACCTTAACCCTGTCCAGTTTTTTATTTTGAGGCAGGGGCTTTCTAGTCTGGACTTGCCCCTCAAAGTACTGGTATTATAGACATCTACCAAACAGCTGAAAAATTGTTTTAGTGTTCCTAATCAAATGTACGTAACATAATTACTTAAACACTTGGAGACAGATGTACATTATAGGCAACTTTAAGCAAATAACATTGGTATCAGCATTGTAGAGCATGAAACTTTATTTTGATGTATATATAGCTTTGGTATAGATTTCTCTATGTAGAGTTTGTAGAATAAAGAGTAATCAGTAATTTCTGATCATTGGTATGTCAGATTATTTTCCCCAAGGAGACTGGTTAGTAATCATAAGTCAATTGAATTTTTTCTTAATATCTTTAGGAAAAAATCGATTTTCAGCATGCCCATGGGTTACAAGAATTGGAATTTATTCAAGGACATTCTGATACAGAAGCAGCAAGACTGTGTGTGGACCAGTGGCTAAAAATGCCAGGTAATCTTTAGAGATTGTACTAAGGTTACTGAGCTTCCTGAACGGCTTAAGGCACAAAGTGTGTCTGTTTTATTCCGTTTTTAATAAACATATAAGATGCTCAAATTCAGTCTTAATGAAACTAATATGACTTCATAATGGCCTACTTTGCCAGTCGATTTCCTTCTTTGGCCCAAGTATATTTTTGGTATATACAATGTAAGTTGTCCTTGAGCTCATCAGGTAATGCTCATTTATTCATTCATGTATTTAACATGTTCATGTCAGGGCTGTAGTTCATATGACTTGCTGCTGGGTGGCTCTCATTTGACTTGATTGTCTCATATGTTATATAGCTAACCTGCGTTATGCTCTTTTGTTAACATAAGACGCTAAAGCAGAAATACTCGGTATTTCACAGCTATATTATTATTAACAAGATCCTGCTGGTTTGAAGCACTGGTGCCACATGCGTGGCAGTCCCATCAGGCAGACAGCTTGAACCATTGGTGGTACAAATGGATCTAATCACTTTTACCAGTCTTCTTAAAATTAAGTCAGAGCCTCCCAGCCGTGAAACATGAATTATAGCTCTTTCCTGAATGTGTGAAGTTCAGTGGTAAATTTCTCTTTTATTACTGCTTTGTTGTTCCATGATGGTTCTTCTCATTTTTGTTTGGGATTTCATTTGTAAATAATACATAATTTTTGTACACATATGTATATACATATTATAACCTATTCATTTTTCACTTCTTTGTTTTTGAGACAGGGTCTCACGATGTAGTTTAGGCTGGCTGTGAACTCACTGTGTAATCTAGGCTGCCCTCAAATTTGTGGCGCTCCTGCCTCAACTTCCCTAGTGCTGGGATTATAGGCATGTGCCACTCTGCCTGGCTTGTTTTTCAATTTTTTTTTTTTTTTTTTCAATTTTAAGAGTATTTCTGTTCTGTAAAAAATTTTTTCCATTAGAGTGTCAGACACAGAAAATGGATGATTCATCAGATGAATCTGTAACTGTACTTCATCAGAGGAAAAGGCCAGATGAAGGTGCATTAGAGTTAGATGAATGTAATTTTGTGGCCAGTACATTCAATGAACATAGTGCAGATTTGGATATGAATGTAGAAGATCAAAAGGAAGAACACAGCTGATAATAGAAAGAAATATGACAAAACAGGAGCACACAGAACTGTGAAATGCAGAATTTCTAATAAGAAATATTAACTGCAGTAATCCTTTTGCGTTGTTTAAATTATTCATATATACACTCAAAATTATAGTTGTAGAAACAGATATGTAGCTTTAATGCAAAAAGAACAAAACATCAGCAATGCCTGGAATCTGTTATAATTAGTGAGATGAAAATTTTTATGGTTATGAGGGGCTGGGGATTTAGCTCAGTGGCACAGCACCTGCCTGGCAAGCACAAGGTCATGAGTTCAATTCCTGGTACCAGAAAAAAAACAGAAAAGAAAAAGGAAATTTTTATGGTTACATTATTATGAGGATGGTACTATTTACCAGATAACAGATTGTATCGGCCTTAAAATAGTATGTGTCCCAATGGATGTATAAAGAATGCCATGTAACACAATCATTTTGTGGCTATTTTGAATTGTTTACGTGTATAATTCAAAATTATATATATTTTTTCAAAATTATATTTTGAATTATTTACATTTCTCTGACAATACCATGTACAGAACTGAGGATCCTTTGAATAAATTTAGAAAAATCGTGGAGGAAATTATTAGAGTACATTAAGAATGCACTAAAACCTGCAAAAAATGTAGTGATAAAAGTCTGATTTTTATGGGAAGATAACTGCTTTTTCACTAATCCATCAAAGGAAAACAGCACAAATACAGGATAAAATTATATAAATTGTGTTTGCCTAATCTTCACACCTATGATTTACATGTTTATGTCAGAAAAACTGCAAACCCTGGGGCTGGGGATTTAGCTCAGCGGCAAAAAGCGCCTTCCTGGCAAGCGCAAGGTCGTGAGTTCGGTTCCCGGTACCGGAGAAAAACCAAAAAAAAAAAAAACAAAAAAGAAAAATGCAAACCCTCTAGTGCATAGGCATTCTTACGATTTTTTTAATGTCTTTTTTAGCTTAATATTTTGGTGTTGACCGAACCCAGGGCTTCCCGCTTGCTAAACCAAGCATTCTACCATGAGCTAAATCCCCAGCTCTTAAAATATCTTGAAGTTATCGAATGGCTTATTATTTAACACCACACACTCTGTGCAGATAATTATTTGAGTGTATCCCTTGTACAAGAACTTTTACGAAAAAACATACTTTTGTAGCACAGTATAGCCAAATTGAAAAATTTTACCAATATGAGCAAACACAAAACAAAAATCCAGTGAAATCATAAACTTTGAAAACCATCCTGCTGTAAATTTGTTAAATGAAGTGATAAAAGAACCATTTGTGAGCAGGGCATGCTGGCACACACCTGTAACCTCAGCACTTGTGAGGCTAAGGCAGGAGGATTGTTGCGAGTTCAAGACCAGCCTAGGCTATAAAGTAAGCTCAAAGCCAGCCTGAACTACATAGCAGACCTTGTCTCAAAAAGACAAAAAAAAAAAAAAAAAGAACCATTTGTATGTTAGTGACTTGTAAAACTCATACATGTACGTTGATTGAAGGAAAACCTAGAAACATAAAACCTGATCTTATCTTTGATTACAGTAATGCAAAGGAAGGCATTGGGTTAGCAGGCCAGATGTCATCATATTACAGTTCCTTAAGACTAAAATGGTATAAAAAATTGTAATATAGCTAATTTGGGGTGTAGCGTTTTTAAGTGACTATCGTACACACCAACAATGGGGTACGTATAAGATTTCCATGTTAAAATTTAGAGAATTAATTACTGATAAACGATGAACCTGTAAAGAAATGCTATGGGTACACATTACTCTGAAACACATTCCTTTATAGAACTTCACTTAGGATTGGCGAGAAATGCATGCATGCAGTTTGTAGAGAATGTATTGAAAATTGAATCTGAAAAAATAGGTGCTGCTGTGGCTGCAAAGAAAGCCAAGCATGTTAGGGTGTTTTGCCCTTCTCTGCACAAACCAGCCACATTTATGTGGAAATTTGTTTTAATTTTTTTTTTTACTTTTAAAGATAAAGAATGAAAACACATTAACAAACAGACATAAACAAAACAACACACAAACAATAGAAGCAATGCAGAATTTCAGACAAAGTGATAGGAAATTAACAATGGTTGTTGTATATATTGTTATCTTCAAGTTGGTGACTCAGTTAAATATAGGCATGCAGGATTGATCAGACAATTAAACATTAACTGTTCCTTTCAATAAAGCAATAGAAGTCAGTGGTACCACTCTCTCAGCTATCCTGTGTGTGTATATAGAAATACAAATATGCATATTTTTTCCCTTCTTTCTTTCTTTTCCCTCATCCCAGTTGTTACCTCCCTTTGAGCAGTTTCTTTCCCTTTCACAATATCTTTTGTACCTTTCAGATTTTATTTACTTTCAGGTTTCTACACTAGTATTCTACCAGTATTTGCACATGGGGGTCTAATTTATTTCACTTATGAATATGGACTCTAGTTGCATCCATTTACCTATGAAAGCCTCAAGTTTATCTTTCTTTATAACTGAGTAATATTCCATTATTTAAAAATACCACATCTTTTTTATCCATTCCTCAGTGGATGGGCATTTGGGTTGCTTCCACCATTTAGCTACAATAAGTTGAGCAGCTATAAACAGGGGTGCACATATATTGCTGTGGTATGTTTGTAGTTCTTCTGGAAAAATATCCAAAAGGAAGATAGCTGGGTTGAATGGGACCTCTAGTCCTAGTTTACTGAGGAATCTCCAGACTGATCTCCACAGCGGTTGTACCAGTCTGCACTCCCCCAATAGTGGAGAAGGATTCCTTTCTCTCCACTGTCTTGGCAGCATTTGTTATTGGTTGATTTCTTGATGATAGCCATTCTTTCAGGAGTGAGATGGAGTCTCAGTGTTGTTTTAATTTGCATTTCTTGAATGACTGGTGATGTTGAACATTTTTTCATGTATTTATTTGCCATTTGTATTTCTTCATGTGAGAAGTGTGTATTCATCTCAGATGCTAATTTTTGGATTGAGTCTTTAAATTTGGGGGAGCTGATTTTTTTAGTTCTTTATATGTTCTAGGTAGAAGTTGTTTGTCTGAGGGGCAGTCGGCTAAAATTTTTTCCCAATTTGTGGGTTTTATTTTTACTCTGGTGATTTCTCTAGATGTGCAAAAACTTGGAAAATGTTTTAAAAAGATTTACAAATTAAATAAATGTCTGTTTAGTTTATTTGTTGTTTTTTTTTTTTTTTTTTTTTTTTTTT